TTAGTGAGCTGATTTCACCACTTAGTGTCAGGTCAATTTGTTAAGCTATTGAACCGTGAACATGAGGGCAACAAAATAATCTTAATGTGTAAAAAGATAAGAAGCAGACACAGACTAAAACAATAAAGAAAATATCTGACATATGAAGATATAGTGTGTCTTTTAGTCTAGGGCTTACAAGTGAATGTTTTGTTCCCTACCGTGTAAAAGTGTCACACACTGCAGCATGAGGAATACATAATGTGCTGTAATGTACACATGAGGACATTATAGCAGTGTGCATGCCTTTCAGGTGTGGCAGGTGTGGACGTAGAGAGCCTCGGCACAGGTTTATTACGACAACAAGGTTTACCGACTGCACTCAATTGACCTGTGAATCATCGACTCTGTCCTTCATCTCGGAGCTGATGGGCTGCTATACAGGGTTAAGTGTCTGGTAATTGACCCAGGCTGCTGCTAGTTTTCTATTCTATCTAATTAAATGTATTCAGCTGGCATTCCAGGTGTTCATCAGCATCTGATTAAATCAGCAGAGCTCAGAAAAAAAGAAAGAGCAAAGCAAAGACAATGAATGAAGTGTTGCCACAGATGTTAAGAGCATGAGAAAAGAGCCACAGGTTCAACAAGAAGTTACTCTCCGGGGATTTCTGTGGGGTAAGGCAGCTATTCCCAGTGCTTTGCCCATCCATAAAACCATCCATGGTATAATGTGCTCAGACAGTATTTCATGACTGATACTTGAGATTTGAGATGATGCATATAATTGGGGGATGAAAATGTGATGGCATAATGTATGGGTTGATAAATGTGTTCCATTGAGAGCCTTAAAACGTCACCTATGCTTTTTACGAACATTAAAGGAGTTCGTTGATATCACTTTCCAGAGATTTGGCAATAGTTACTGAAAGGGGACATATTGTTCTAATCTTTAGGTTCCAACTTGTATGTTAGGTTTCTAAAACATTTTAACTTGCTTTAATTTTCATAAAAGTATTGGCTAAAGAGAACATTTAGTAGGGGAATCTCAAGACAGCAGTGATAATCTGGTAGGTTTTTAAGTGCACAAACACTCAAAATGTGAGTTTTGGAGATATGTCTCCTTTACATGTTTGTTAAAGCATTATGACTAAAAGATATACAGATTCAAACATGTATTACTTAAACACTATGCAATGACATTACTGTTAATAATCTACATAACATTTAAGATTGCATTTTCTTATTTCTTATGCAAATATACTGTGTTTTTGTTTGAGCGGAATTTCCTGGAAGACATTTCCATATATGGTTCACACGCAGCATTAAACATTTCTTCTCTAATTCAGCTCTGCTTCAACTGAGCAGTGTGGTCTTTAGGGCTATCCATACATCTGCCTCCAAACAACACACTCTTTTAATCTGAGCCACGCTTCCACACAAGTCCTCATAAAGGAAGTTCTTACATCAAATGCTGTGTGTCAGTACACAAGGAGGAAACCTGAGTGGAAAGGAGGCACAAGGAGGAAAAGAACCCAACTGCGTGGGTGCATAGAAAGAGAAGCAGCCAGAGGAAAGTTCAACGGCTTCAAAGAGAAAGAGGTTTTGACTCTGTGTGCATTAAGTCATTCTTCCAATTCAATGTAACTCTGGAAAGATGGATTTATTGGTCCTCATTTAAAGAGCTGAATGGTCTTTCAATGTTCTTAGATCAAAGTTCATTGGTAAGGTGCTTATCAGTATTCTCTTCCATTTGATGGTAGGATCAGGATTTAAAATACCTTGTTTTCACTGGGAGGACCATTGTGTGCACTTACTGTAGTGTAAGTAAATGCTTCTTACAGTATATATAATGTGCTTTTAATTAAACAGTTTCTTTCTAACTTCCATGCATAACAATATTAGAATAACTCCAATTATGCAAACAATAAGTTGATTTGACAAGGGGATGCTGAGTGCAATAAAACAAAGGTTCTGCTTGGATGACTTTTTATTGTGCCTTACCATCATTTTTCTTTCAGGGTCTTTTCATTCTAATATGTATTCAAAGTGAGTACTTTGTTATCATAACTGCAATCTCGTAACAGGACTTTATAGCACCCAATTTCAACTAACTGGTTCTATTTATTTAAGTGCTTTATAATGAATTGGATTTCTTTTTCTTGACAGTGAAAGAATCCCAAGGTGACTGGACATTTGATGAGTGCTTTACCCTCGCGTTCCTCTAACCACCATACATGAAGGACCAGTGATAGACATATTCATTTCACTGCAGTTGCACTACATTTGTAAACCTGTGTGTAACATTATACAATGAGCACAACGTTTTGTGGCTTCACAAGTCAACTTTCCCGCAGACCCTGTAGATGAGGTAAATGTTGCAAATATGCTTATCAAATGAAAAGATCATCTTTCAACAGCAATTGTGCTTGTGGCTCCATTTTGACCCAAAGTCTCAAAGATCATATATCATACATTTAAGAAACTATGAAATTAATGAAAATATATTAATTAATTTCAATATGTATGTATATATATATATATATATATATTGTTATATAATATTATATATATATATATATATATATATATATATATTTGTATACATATTTTTATATATATATATTTATGTATTCAGGATTCTCTCTGTCTGTACACACAGACTGAAAGGTTGACAATAAAGTTGACTTTGACTAATGTAAGCGCTACGGCATTGGCATCAAATAAGCCAAACCTTTCTAAGTGGTACGTACAGAACATATAGATGTTCTACGTTCTGCTGTCCTGATATCAAGAGGGAGCTCGTTCCACCATTTTGTATCCTAAATAGCAAACAGTGGGTGTTTCTCAATCTCGAGTAAAGCTGCTCCAGAGCCACTATTTCAAGCATACTACGTCATCGAGTCCCGCCGAAGGACTGTTCCAATGTCCAGTATACTTGGAATTCTACCGAGCCCGGCGTACTTCGTAGCGAGAGTTTTCGAGGCTGCACATGTGTTGACTCCGCGGTCTTAAAATCCCCACAATGCTTGGCGCACGGACCAATTTCCCAAAATCTGTGGCGGAAAATGTAAGACGGGGCCTCTCATATGACGCACACCTGCACACTTGCTAGCCTGTTCCACTCTTTGTTTTCCGAATGCCAGGAAGGATTCTTGCCTCGCTTCTGAAGCAAGTGACTCGGACGACATGTGCTACCGAGCAAGCGTCCTCGACATTGAGAAACACCCAGAGTGTTTTTGCTAAGAGGTACCTGGGTCCCACCGACAGTGACTCGCCCTAATTAAAGGAAAAGTCTTTTTAGGTGTAAATGGTAATGGCAATATTTGTAATGGATTGAGGCAGTGGTGAAGGAGGTGTGTAACTGTGCACATATGAATCCCAAACGTCAACAAATACGACACGACTTACCCTCACACACATCCCAGGCGGTCCAGTTCATGCCCTCGGACCCCTGGATTCCAAGGTGGGGTTTGCTGTCCACCAGACTGGGATGTTTGAGCTTCAGCACAGAGTAGGTGGGAGTCCTTTCACACAGATAACCCACTGAGCTGTAGGGCTCCTGCAGCTGAGACACTGGGTAGATACCCGCCAGAATCTACAGAAAATAAACAAAAAGAGGGAGAAAGATCAATAAGACAAATATCAAAGTGCTCCAAAACTCTTGAAACTGCCATAAAGATAGTTTCAAAAAGAAGTGAGCATTTGAAAGATAACAAGAAATGTATGAAATAAATAATACATTTTCCCAGGGGTGCTCTTTAACAGGATTAAGTTTATTTTAAGCCCAAAACTTTAAAATAAAGTCCCACTGTGCATTATAAAATTTATATTCAATTTAATATTGAATAATCAATTTCTTGCACAATAATATCCTGCATTATATTTGTTACTAGAAATGTTTATTTCCATATGTATACATTTTTACTTTTTAACGCTATTTCATTTCTATTTCTGAAATATTTTGGACTGTTTAGTTCTTGTGTCTTAATTTCTCTTATGTACATTGCCTTGTTTTGTATGCTGCTGCAACGCAAACACTTCCAAAATTTGGATAAAGAAAGTACCTACTACCTATCTACCTATCTATCTATCTATCCATCCATCTATCCATCCATCCATCCATCTACCTCTCTACCCACCCACCTACCTACCTACCTACCTACCTACCTACCTACCTACCTACCTACCTACCTATCCATCCACCTACCTATCGATCTACCCATCCATCTATCTATCTATCTACCTATCCATCTATCCATCCATCCATCCACCCGTCTATCTATCTACCTATCCATCTATCCATCCACCCGTCTATCCATCCATCCATCCGTCTACCTACCTACCTACCTACCTACCTACCTACCTACCTACCTACCTACCTACCTACCTACCTACCTACCTACCTACCTACCCATCCACCCATCTACCTACCTATCTACCATTTGGTTTCAAATACACAAAAGTGAGGTTGTACCTGCAACTGTTTATCCACAATGGAGGGGAAAACCAGTCCGGGACAGTCGCAGAGCTTCACTGTGGGGGTGAGGTAGTACGTCTGGAAGTATTTGGTGTGGCCTGGAGTCCGGGACACGCTCACCACCTTCCTTGCCACCAGGCTGTTAATAACCGACGACTTGCCAACATTCGGAAAGCCTGCGAGAGGGGGAGGGGGGGAAATAAATGGGTTTAAGATCCTTACTTTGGTTTGCTGATGCTAGCCTTGAGTTGTGCGGTGGATTGAAGAGAACTGTGTCGTGGCTTCCTTCCTTGCTTTTCTTTCAAGCCATTCGACGCCTTAAACAGACATTTTTCCCTCGTTTTCTTTCCTGTACATTACTTACAGCTGAAGAGTGGCTTGGCCTCCGTGAATAGTTTTGTTACAGAAGCATGTGAATAAGGCAATGCACATGAACAAAAGACCTACCCACAAATAATAATAATAATAATAATAATGAAGATAGAGAATAAAACAAAAAACGAAGACAAATACAAAAACANACACACACAACTTCAGCATCTCAGCAAAACTGAACTCTTGATCTGTCTTTATCCCCCTTATACAGATGGCTCTGAAGTGCGCGGACATCTGTAACCCCTGCAGACCCTGGGAGCTGAGCAAACAGTGGAGTGAGAAAGTGACCGATGAGTTCTTCCAGCAAGGTAATCATCTCTTCTGCTGCATAACAATGATTTTATAATAACTAAAACTGCAGACAGAAGACACAGATCTGCACTGCAAGTTTAACCATAGGGGGTTCAATAATAAATGTAGGTTAAACTGAGAGCCACCAATTTGGCCATAGCTAGTTAGATAGCTAACATTAGTGAGCTAGCAAGCTAACTAGTAGATAGCGAATGTTAGTTAGCTTGGATAGATGGCTAACTTTCTCTAGCTAGCTTGTTTAGTACATAGCTAACATTCACTTACTAGTTTGATAGATAGATCGTTT